AGGATACGATATTATATCAGGAAGATATGACAAACGATTACTGAAATTGAAGATAAACCGAGTTATATGTAACGTATAAATTTTTATAATGGACAAATTCTTTGACACAAAATGGCTCATAATATAAATTTTTATTTTTCTTAACAAATATGGATTTCTTATCGAATTTCATTAGTTTTTATCTTCGGAATCAAAACAATAATTATCATTCGCTGCATCGTTTTCTGGAAAAGAAACAAAAATTTCTTATCGATAAAATGAAATAAAGGAAAAAAAAAAATGTTTATGCACTTTAGGGATTAACAGTACCCTTTTAATCCATGTTTTAAGGGAGTTAAGTGGGTCTTTTAAACCCCGGAATTAAATTTCACTTTATTTCCCAAGGGGTTAAATTTTTACTTTATTTTCCAGGGATTAAATGAAACAGGGAATAAAAGAGAATTTTCGTAAAGTTCTAAAAAAGTGTTTAATAAAGTACCTACATAAAATAGTGTATACATCTCAGGACTGAAGTGTTTACCACTTTAGGTGTGTAACCCAACAAACACAACTTATCGGCGCTTAATGTTGCTGTATCACGAACACAGCCCAAATACAGCACATAAATAGTTTTAATAATGCTGCGCAGCACTTGTATTGGGAATACTGTATTTTAGAAGAGCAGTCTTTGATATGCAGCGGCTTTGCAGATTTTGTATTGGAAAAGCGATAGATTATTTGGATCTCCCATGCGCATATTGATGCAACAACTGTTGTAAAATGTTAGTGCAGTTACTGTAAAGAAATGTGCCTATTTGCGCGAGCACAGTATTTTTTGCCGTAGAGTTGTGAGCGTAGCCATTTTGTTTTATTTTATTGTATTGTATTGTTTCACTGATGCAGGGCAGCGTTTTTGATTTATAATTTTTGTGGTGTTTTTACCTGTGATTTGTATTACTACGTGCACAAGATGCATTATTTTCAACAACAGGAAACAAGGTAGGTGAAAAATTGATACAAATAAACAAAAACAAAGGCCCCCGTATTATCATAACCTAAGTTTTCTATCGTTTTTCTATTTGCCCCCGTTTTCCGTTTTCTATTTTTGTGATTTAAAAAATGGATTTACAAAAGAGAAATAATCTTTTAGGTAAAATAAATGGAATACTAGGGGGCAAAAACACTGAAGAAGTATGTAGGAACATATTAGCCAGATTATTATCTAGCTCCTCAGCTGAACTGGACAGGGCGCCTTCAAAAAGCACAATTTTCAAAATATACCTATAGGTAAACTCCGACAAATACCATTTTAAAGTCACGTGATATTGGTGGCAAAAAACGCACCATTGATTATGTCGTCGATATCACCTACAAAAAGCTACTGGTGGTTAATTACTATTGAATTTTAAGATATGTTCCCACTAGCATTTCACAAACGCGTTTCTGAAGTAGTATTGACTAATCAGATGGGAATTTTAATACTTGCAATTGCTGCGAGACTCACTTTTGTCGCATCTGCTGTCCATTGTAATACATTCTGAAGTTGAATTGGGTACCCGTTTTCTATTTGCTTCTTTTCGAGTTGGAAAAAGGTTAATATAGTCAAAATTATTAGCTGTGTTTGTTCGTTGTATCATTTTCGAAAATAACTTTGACAAACTTATTGATGACAGTGATGGATTCTATTTCAGGTAAGAATATTATGAACAATAATTAGACACCAATTTTTTTGTCAATTTTACTATCACCGCTGTTCAAGATGTATTCAACAAGGATAGAGAAAAATCACGTGACTTTAAAATGGTATTTGTTGGACTATACCTATATTAGCAACATCAATAAAGCAATTTAGGTAAGTTGATGCAAGGTAAAACGGGTTTTAAATTTTAACCCAATTTTGTCCTTATTTAGTCGATGTAAGAAAAAATAGAGCCAGTCAGAATGCGTCTCAATCAGAAGCTGAAAAAGCCACCAAAGTATGGTTAAGGAATACGGAATATTATTGTTTAATGTCCCACTCCTTAATATATTCTATATACTTTAATTTGTTTTGTCATTTTTCAAAAATATCCTGTCTATATAAAATAAATTATGTCCATTAAATTTAGAGTGCCACAGGTAAATATACCTAAACGGTATATTGGCTGCACAGTTATTGCGAAACAAATATGTGCGACGTCTTCAAGTGCGCTGCGTTATTGCTGTGGAAAAATTGCATAATGAAGAGGCAGAGCACAGTGGCTGTAGTCGAATGCAGCATGAACAGTGCAGCGCCAGATGCAGGCCGGTGGGACATATGATCCGGGCTGATGCAGTTGCTTCGTCTACATCGCTGTACAACAAGTACAGCACAGTATCACAGTTTTTGCGCAGTGGCAAACTTTCAGTGTTTGCTGGGAATGTACTATTGAACCATACAAACACCATACGTGCAGATAAGAAACAAATTATTTACCTGATTCAATGTAAATTTGATGAATCGTAATTCAAATATATTTTATTTTTTAATGGTTCATCCACATTTTTTGGTTTATACGTAACAATGAATTTATGAAATCTTGTTTCGTTAACGGTAGCTGCTTTGCTGCCATAAATTTCGCAGACGAACTTTTCAATAGTTTCAAAAATTTGACTGGTGCTACCTGTTATATGAGCACTCCTCAGTCTTTTGAAAGCTTCTTGATATTCGAAATTTTTCTTCAGAATTGTGAAAGGCCGCTTTTTTCCCTTTTTAAAAAATGACGGATTGTAATCACAACCGGTCATCGCATGAAATCCTGGTGAACTCAATGATAAAGATTGTCCCAGTTTGGCATAAAGCTAGCTCATCGCAATGCATCTTTTTTTATTTCCAGTACCATATTTCATAAAAATGTTTAATGAGTCACTGAGTCCATGTTCCCAAGCATTATAATTAAAATATCAGTATCTGATGATTTAATTAAGACATTCAGATTGTCTTCATTGATTCAACATTTATGCGTTACATATAACTTTGTTTGTCTTCAATTTCAGTAATCGTTTGTCATATCTTCCTAATATAATATCGTATCCTCTCATTCTGACATTGGAACCCGTATGTCTGTTGCGCTCGCACTCCCATCGAGCGTCATAACTATTACATGCTGTTCTGGCAGACACTTGCAACCGTCAGAATAGGCTGGCTTTTTACATATACTTTTTAAATTAATAAAAGAATATTCCCTCGAAATTTCAGCCTTGTGGGAGCAGGTTATGAATTATCATCCCTATAACAACTTTGCTATCTTCTGGCACATACTTACAACCCTTGAAATAGGTTGTCATTTTTTTTTTACACTTAAACATATGTAAATTAAAACATAAAAATTGTAGCCTTGTGTATAGGACACAAATTTCATAAGATTAGTCTCATTTATTCAATTGGCTCGCTTTCAAACAACGGTTTTTTTATAATGTTTAGTGTATTTTCGTACTTTTGTAGATGTCAAAAACTAAGGGCGGGTAATATAAAATTAATTTGACAGATAACTAAAAGTTAACTTCTGAAATTACTATGAGAAATAACGTCATTCCAGAAGTTAACTTTTAGTTATTCTGTCATTTGTCATCGCCCTAAATCACATTGGGTTCTGTTGAAGTAATGAATCCAAAAGTCGGTTTCGTAGTGGGAATTTTCCATCTCTTTGTTTACCTACAATTCCTTCGAAAAAAACTAGTACTATTACAGATATTTGTTATAAATATGAGTAGAAAAGAAAAAAGAGTTGAAATGATTTTAAATAAGTCGTAATGAGGGTGCGCTTGAAGGCAGGCTTCATTTTTAAGGTTTGCATTCATTTTAGAAGAAACCAAGGGCATACACTTGTTTTCTACTAAAATGAAAAAGATTTTTCACTTTCATGCAGAAACCTCTGCATAACGGAGACTTAATTAGCCACAGGTAGGTACTTTTATTATCGACGACTTTTCAATAATATCTTAACGGCTGATATCAATTAAATAAGGCGATAATTTATTCACTCCCCATAATATTTACTATTCAATTCGTTACTAGACCAGATTATTTTAATTTAGCATTGCTTTGGAATAAAAATTGGTTTTAGAAATATTTGAAAGAGTTGAACGGACAGAAAATCACGTGATAGAAACCGAAACTAAACTGCACTACTTCTTGATACTCTCTTGAATAATTTACCGGGTTTCATATTTTGAATCATTAGGTGCCATAATTTTGGAACAACTAGTATAATAGGTGTAATCTGGTGTAAAAATTCTATTTTTCATTTACATATTACTTTTAAAGCGCCAGTGTCTTTATTTATTATACTTATTAAGTGTTTGATATTAAATACATTTTCTCTACTATGTTATTCTTACCTAATTGTTTGATAAATTCTTTTGTTACCTATTTTCTGGAGAGCACAAAAATTTCTACAGAACCTGACATGGAGTTTTTTAATTTGGCATTTTCATTTTGTGTCAAGTTGGGTACAAATTTTTCCTGCTTGTCAATAGCGGTCGATAGTGAAGAAGCAAAAGAACGCAGGTACTGTGTATTTGAAAAAAAAAAAAAATCCTCTTTTTATTTTGTGTTACAAAATAATAATAATAATAATAATAATAATAATGTACTTGGTGACTGTTATTGTTAAAGTAGGTATCTACTAGAACGATTAGCGCTTATCAAGTAGTTATATTGCTTTAATTCAAGCTTTTCTTTAAATTGAAATAGGTATAAACTTATCATTCTTATGCCCGTTGAGCTTAAGACACTGGAAAACCCTGTGGATAGGCATATCAGAGGTGGTGTATTAGTGAACACCCTACTACACCCTGGCGAATATGCATATCGGACGGAGATATGAACAAAAGAAACAGTGTTCCACCTGCTAGCATGGTGAAGGCCATACTGGTAAACAAGGCGGTATAATACTGCAGACTTCAGAAGTGAGTATTCTTTTAAAAGCTGCTTTTATATGTATATGTTTCGTGAATTTCGATTTTTAACAAAGGCCATTTTGATGTTTGACCATTGTTCACGTTATTTTGCTTCTCCCCTGCAACCTTACCTCTAATTTTAGAAATGCTAGATGCACCGGATCATAAGAGTCCATTTTTCATGTATTAAAAATATAGGAATAACTTAATTAGTATAGTCAAAAATGATAAATACAGGAGTAAATGACTTGAATAAAGCACTTTTTTTCATATATGACTATGATTCTTAAAAGTAGGTATATTTTTTTGCACAATAACAATCAAATACTTTATCGCTTGAGCACGACAAGATCATACAGGTTTGTGTAATAATAATATGTATAATAATTGTCCAACGCTTACATTTGTATCAGATATTCATAAAAAAATTACATCCACATTTTTTTGTTAGATTAAGTATTTCACTTTGCAACGTATTGTTGGTAAAACTTTTAATTTTACAGCATAACGAAATTCCAAAAAATTCAGCTTATCGTATAAATATTTATTTATCTATTTCCAATTTTATCCATTCCCGTTCTCGGAATTTGAGACCGCCAGAAGAGACCTTTGGACAGCAATTCCTGTTGGGAATCCAAATTTGTTCAGTACTTTGATAGCCAGAAGATATACGACGTATCGATGCAACAGGCAAGTACCTAGCTAAAAATTTGATATTTTAGCTGACGTACCGTGCAATACGTATCGAAAAATCGAAGAATAGAATCGCTATTTTGACAATTCGACACGAATTTCGACTCGACTCGTAAAATAGAATCCGGCATCTGTATCTTATTCTCTGTCTATTGATGTACTGGACAATTCTCACTTAAAACCTAAAAAATCTTCAGGACATGTCAAAAACAAGAATTTTCAATTCCATTAATAGATATACGTTGAAAGATATGTTTTACCACCATTACGTCGCAAAGGTTAATCTGAGGCAGGTTTTTATAAAAATATTGAATACAACTTTAGACTTAACATTTAACATTTGGCTAACTTTTCACTCTATGAAATACGTCTCTAATTTATAAAATGCACATGTTTCTGTCATTCTGCACAATAATTATTAATTTGTAATATCTTTTAGAGTGTACTCGACCAGAAATCCATAAATTAACTCTAACATGTTTTTTTTTTTAATAGAAAGCAGCGAAATGTTAAATGAAGCAGCCTAATTCTTCCCTTGTTATTTTTTTTTATAAATTCGCCATCACGGCGAGTTTCGAATATTGCCTATAAAACTAGATAGTTAAGTATTTGGTGTCAAGATTTTGGAATTGTTCTGTTTGGCTTAGAATGTAAATGATTTCTTCCGTTTCATTAGGTTCGACCGTACATCACAGTACTGTTTCCATCTCTGCTATTTCTGTTGTCGTCGGTCTGAAAAAATAAAAAATAAATAAAAATAATTAAAATATATGCGCCTCTGAAAAGTGCGGTTGAAGCATAAAACAAAAAAAAGTATCTTCGTATGCTAGTTGTTGTAAATTGGAATTTGAATATGAGCTCAAATTAAATTTAAACGCCACCAACTTGACTATAAAAAAAATTAAACTATGAAAAATTCTAAAAGAAGATTTCTGTCGAAAATAATAAAAGCAACTATTAACCTAGAGGGCACGCTTTTCGTTGAAATTTGAAGTACCAGTTTGGTACCAACACTTTCCGTTGGCTTTTTTTTTAAGGGAAGCTCTGCTTGTTCAGCTTGTCTTTTCTTGGTCCTTTTCAAATTTTGCCGTTAGCCCTGATAGGTCGACTCTGGCCTGGGTGGCAGCCATCTTCCTTAATAGTGATTACCGTTCTCGTGAAGAAAAGTACCTACCTTATCGGCCATCAGGCACTAGTTTGGCGAAATAAAGTTGCGCAAGGCAAAGTTCCGTTGATTACCGTTTTAATTGAGTTTGAATTTCGAACCCCCTCGTGGTAAGTCCTCTCTAATTTTTTTTCAAGTAATGATTGTTTATGGAATGTCTCTATTACTTAGGGTTTTCCGAGGAGCCGTTTCTCCGAGGAGCCGTTTCTTTCGGAAAAACTGTTTCCAACAACAAGCGACATTTCTTAAGATCACCATTTTCGTGGAGTATGGGCATAGAGTTTTTGAACGGATTTCCTAGAGGAATCAAGTCCTTCACGTGTTGACTCCTGTACGTCCACATTTGACAATAACTGAGAACTTCTAGCCTCTATCTACCTTGATTCAAGGCTAGAATCTGCAACTTCCCTCGTCAAGTGACAAAAAAATGGATGGCTACCGTACCTACTCTACCTTTTTGTCGGAATTGAGACTTGTGTAGAGTTTCACTTATAACTTTTATTACCTTTTTTTTATGATCAATTTACAACATTAATTGATTTTTTTTTCCTGATATGACATTTAAATATTTAAAATTTCAATTTCACATTCTTGACAGCGAAGCGAAGTTCAAATAATTATTTCCGATTTATGATTTACTGTATTTACTATAGATTTTATCTCTACTTAACTTTTAGTACCGCCATATTTAGAGAATGTACTTATATTTGATCAATGATAATCAGTAATCTGAACTGAAGTCAAGGTTGGACAAAATGTTCTAAATTAAAAATTATTGAGTAACTACCTACATCTGATCTAGTTTTAACTTGGCTCCTATAACTTATGTATTGGAGGATTTCTATTATATCTCCTGACCATTTAACCCCACTTTTGATTTCATACAGGTGCAATTTGATTCTACTGAATTTATTCTTTCAGCAGAAGCTGCCCATATTTATCAATACAATTTTCAATAATTCATTTTTTCAAAAATAATTTTCTGGAAACTTAAATCCTTTATATTTTTATTTCATGATTATGATATGGCCAGCGACTGTTAATAAACCTATATGGCAAGTATATTGAGGTACATTATAATATAAACTTTTTTTTTTGGAATTTGATGAATCTGATTGAGAGTTAACCTCTATTTATTCATTTTATTTAAGTTAAGTTAAGTTAAGTTTATTTTGGTGTTTTCAAAATTTTTTACAATTTTTATCACAAGTCAGCTTACATACTATAGACTACGGACTAATACAAATTCAATTTAAATAATATCACATTTTTTTCATTTGTAGGAACATCATAATAAAAATGGATGATTTGACCAGACATAATGTGCCTTTTTTTTTTTCTTTTTATACATATTTCAAATTTACAGTTTAAAATCATTTTCATTAGGTTCATATTTAAGAAATTCATTTATACTATAGAAGGCTTTTGTTATGAGGAACTTTTTCACTGTTTTTTTAAATGGATTTAATTCTCGGGTTCTTATACTTTTTGGGACTTTATTGAAAAAAGTTGGTGCATAATAATTCCCGCAATTTCTTGATTTTTCTAATCTTAAGAAGTCCAAGTTTATATTTCCCTTCTTTCTAGTATCATGATCATGGCCATTTTCATGATTCTGGTATTTGTGTAAGTTTTGCTTCGCATAGATCAGGCACTCAAGAATGTAGTTTCCTGGGGTGGTAAGTATGCCAAGATTTGCGAAAACATCCCTCACATCTGCCACATCTGCTCTGTATTTCATACCCTCAATCACTCTAATTGCCCGTCTTTGAAGCCTGAATATTCTCTCAGCATGGGGAGAATGTCCCCATACCAGTATCGCATAGTTTGCAACTGAGTGGAAGAGCGTATGATACACAGTGAGCACCACCCTTCTTTCCGTGATCTTCTTGAGGTTTCTGATAAGAAAGACTGTTTTTGCGAGTTTTTTTGCTGTGTTTTCAATGTGTATCTCGAATGTAAGTTTTGGGTCCAAAAACACTCCCAAAAACTTGATCTGTTTTGGATTTTGTTCGTTTTGTCTACGCAGGCTAACGGTCATTCTCTCAGTTTTGCCCATGTTCAGTTTCAGTCTATTTGCAGTGAACCAACTCTCCAGGTCAGCCAATCCTCGCTCCACCCCTGCTTCCATACTTTCTACGTTTTTATGTGACACTAGTGCTGTTGTGTCATCTGCGAACAGTACAAGTCTACTTTGTGTTGCTTCATTTATGTCGTTTATGTATATAAGAAACAGGAGTGGTGCCAGTATTGACCCCTGCGGCACACCCCTTCCCACGGCACCCCTTTCGGAGAGGACTCCTCCCAAGTAAGTTTGCTGGTACCTTCCGTGTAGATAATTTTTTAATAGGTTTAGACTATTTGGTTGTACACCGTAGAATGTTAGTTTTGCTAGAAGGATCTCATGGGAAATGCAGTCGAAGGCCTTTGTGAGGTCACAGCAAGTGATGCCTACATATTCCCCTTCTTCGAGGCCCCCGACAACATGTTCCATAAGCTCGCATACTGCTTTTGTGGTTGATCTGTTTATTCTAAAACCGAATTGTGAATCTGTAAAGATATTATTTGATTCGAAGTATTGGTACAGCTGTGATTTCAGAAGGTATTCAAAAATTTTTGATACTACAGGGATCAATGTGATGGGCCTATAGTTATTCATATCGTCTCTTTCACCCTTTTTGAAAATTGGGATTACTTTTGATAGTTTGAGACATGATGGGTAAACTCCCTCTCTAATACATTGATTTATTATTTTAAAAAGAGGAAATATTAGTGTGCTTTTTAGTTTTTTAATCAATGTTATGTTCAGGTTATAGATATCTTTACTGGTTTTATTTTTTAAGTTATCTATTGCATCCCTCACTTCAACAAGGCTGACCTCCCTAAAAGCGAAGCCCTGGGGGGGGTACGTGCAAGTTTTGTAAATAGTCCACTGCATTTAAATTTGACGTTGGTAGTGAATTTGAGATGGTTTGAGCTATTTCTGTAAAAAAATTATTTAAGTCATCTGCATTTATAACCCCTGAGTTTTCAGTCTGAACATTTGGACAACGATACTGATTTATTATTTCCCAAGCAGCCCTGATGGGGTTACTTGAGCTTTCAATATATGCTGTATTTGCCCTTTTTTTAGAATTGTTTATGGCTAAACGATAATCCCTCCTAGAATTTTTAAGCTCCCTTGCCAGATTTGGGCATCCAGAATTTTTATGCATATCTGATAAAATTCTCAGATTTTCACGCATGTATACTAGATCATTATTAAACCATTCATTCCTATCTTTTTTTGCTTTTTTGTATGTTTTTTCCCTAAAGAACTTATTTACATTTTCTTTTAATACATTTATAAAAATATCACAGTTTGTTTCAGCCAGGTTACCTCCCTGCATGTGAGACCAGTTCGTATTTGAGAGGGCAGCATACATTTGATTTAGCCCTTTTTGTGTTATCGGTTGACATACATATGTTTGGTCTTTGACGGACTGGTTCCCCACACTGAGAAGCACCTGGATTTCTACCGCATCATGGTCAGATGACACTGCATTTACTGTACCTGTTTGTACTATATTCTCCTTTTCCAGGTTTATGAAAATGTTGTCTAGGCATGCATTTTGTCTGGTCTTGTCAAAAATTTGTTGATTGAGGTTAAAGCAGCTCAATATATCCAAGAATCTAGACTTTTTCATACAGTTTTTGCTAAAATCAATATTAAAATCACCATTTAAGACGACACATTTAAATTTTACAAGAATATTAAACATTTGATTTACAACATTTATAAAAACCTCAAAATTTCCACCGGGGGGGCGGTAGACAGTCACAATGGCAAGACTTAGGGTTTTGATTTCTACTGCTGCTACTTCACAGTCCATTTCCTGGGATAGGGATGTTATTTTTGGTATTGCACATGCTTCAAGACCTATTTTGGTAAAAATCACCACGCCTCCGTGTGCCCTATTTATTCTCGAATAGCTGTCTGCTACTTTATAACCTTCTATTTGTAGTAGATCCAGTTCGTCTTGTTTCATAAAATGTTCACTGCAGCATACTACATCGTATGCATTGTTTTGTTTTTTTGCATTTTTTAGGAAAACTTCTAGTTCTCCTTCTTTGTTTCTGAGAGAGCACACGTTCTGATGCACAATTCTCAATTTTGTTTTCGTGGTTGGGGTCTTCTTGGTAGAAGGTGTAAAAAATGGTTTACAGTGATGCCCCGGCCCCATAGCTCAGGCCTCATTATGGTCTCCCTCTTTTCTGTCTCTATCTCCATTTTGAAGGAAGATACATATTTATCCCTTTTTGTGGTCATTTTTTCGCATCTTACGTTGATTTGCGAGATCTTCATAACATACTCTTCGAGTTGCTTGGCGCTAGTCTTTGTGTCAAAACCAGAGATGAATAGGTTGGAAATTTTCTTTGCTATTCCCAGGTTGAAATTTTCGCTGCCTCCTTTTATCGGGCTTGGCCTCACCCTTTTTCCTTCTTGGTTTCGGTATTTAACTGTTTTCCATTTGTTTTGATCGTTTTTTTCACTGTCATTTTCTTCCGTTTTTGACACATCAACGTC